CATTCGAGATGGCGCAGACACTCACTGGTCATGCCTTCGCCAAGGGTTATCTGCACAGATTCAAGATCTGCAACGACGCCAACTGTCCGTGCGATGACTCATCCAAACAAACAATAGAACATCTCTTTAAAGTGTGCCCTAAATATGCCTGTCAACGACATCAATATATCTCCTATTGTTCTCTTAAAAACGAAACGCCTTTCACATTGGCGTCACACGACGCCGAACTCACCAAATGTTTTGAAAACTTCGCTTCTGAAGTAATAAAGACTCAAAAATTTGAACGCATAAAAACCCTCAACCAAATCATCAAACACCCCAACCGACGCGTCTGACGCCTATATCCATTAGCAAAGGCGTCATATTTCATTATATTTGACTCTTCATTATACTTATTTGTTTTCTGTAATTAATTATATAACGCCTGACGCGACGCCATAATTATGACTCATTTACTATTTTATTAATTACTTGTATTATATTATTTGTATTCAATTTATCAGAAATCAAATAAATTGACTATCAGTATGGGTCAGTCCCCTTACTGCTGGCCCAAGGAAAAAAACCTAACCTAACCTAACCTAACATCCCTTACATCCAAAAAGGGAATCCCTTTCCCTTCCCGTATATGATTTCTGATTCCCCTTCCCTTCCCGTTCCCTTAAGGGATTGGGAAGGGAAAGGCAAGTTTAAGGGAAAAGGGATCCCTTGTGACCTGTAGGGTGTAGACCACTGTAATAGTGACCGCACACACCTAAAAGCGTTATGTATTTGTGTTCGTGGGTTGTTCGTCCCAATCCTAATAAGTTTGGTAATAAGTGGACGTAATTGTTGTGCAGCCCATCGGTGTGTCTTCATTGAAGTGATCGTAAATTGTTGTGAATGTTGTGATAGGATTGCCGTCAAAGCGGACACCAATCAAATCCGTGCCCTCTTTGCCGACCATTACTGCTGTGACTGACTGTCGCCTGACCGCCAGCGCCACCCAACGTCTCTCATAAGCTGTCACTTGTGTCGACCACCACTTCCCACACTCCACACGACTGCCAACACTAACCCTCTGCCGCACAATGGAGGAGATCGTGGCCGCAGTGGACGGCCTATCGTTCGACATCGAGCGCGACCTCGAGGAGCAGATCGGCGCCCTTCCCCTGCCCTTCGCGGGGATGGACAAGTCGGGTGCGGCCACGTGTTTGTTTCACTTGCGCGGGTCGTGCGCGCGGGCAGCCATGTGTCCGTACCGACACATAAAGCCCGACCGGACAGTGGTGTGTAAGCATTGGCTGCGAGGTCTGTGCAAAAAGGGAGATCTCTGCGAATTCCTGCACGAGTACGACATGTCTAAGATGCCAGAGTGCTACTTCTACAGCCGCTTCCACGCGTGCAGTAACAAGGAGTGTCCCTTCCTCCACATCGACCCCGAGTCTAAGGTGCGAGACTGTCCCTGGTATGACCGCGGCTTCTGCAGACACGGCCCCAACTGTCGCCACCGACACACCCGTCGCGTGGCGTGTCTTAACTACATCTGCGGCTTCTGTGCCGACGGCCCCGACTGTAAGTACGTTCACATGCGCTTCGATCTGCCCATCAGTTCGGATCAGTTGACTCAGAAGAAGGGGGCCGTCGTGTGCCACTACTGCAACGAATCGGGACACAAGATATATCAGTGCCCCGCTATGACTGCCGAACAACGCGAGGAAGCCATTCAGCATAAGCTGAACCAACTGCAGGAACAGCACCACAACCAACACCAGAATCAACACCACATGCCCTCCACAGCCAACCACAACGCCGTCCCAATCATCCAAATGTCTTCAGTGGCCGTCAATAGTAGTGAAACTCATTTCAATTTCGACAGAAACCACGTCAAGAATCAGAGCGCAGACAACAGCAAAGACCAAAAGGAAAGGGTGTACCGACCCCTGGATCAGGTGACGTGTTTCAAGTGTGGCGAAAAGGGTCACTACGCCAACAAGTGTCCGAAAGGACATCTCGCATTCCTCAGCAGTGCTCTCAAAGAACTGCAAACCAAACGAGACTCCAATGCAGACAATTAGACTCAATGCACACATTGAATGACTCTTTCATTTGAATGAACCAAACGTTTCATTAAAATTATAATCATTTCATTCATTCATTCATTACATCATTGATTACATGGTTGACGGCCATCACCTCCACGTCACCTCCACCTCGTCGGTCCGGTACCTCTGTGTGCAGAACGTGTGCTCCCAATCAGTCACTTGTCCCGACTCGTACATGAGAGCACCGGTATGTGCGATCATTGCTCCGTTGTCTATGCAATAGCGGTCGTCTGTGGCAAACACCTGAGCGCCTCTCTCTTGAGCCATAATTGCCATCATTTGTTGGAGTCTTAGATTACATCCGACACCTCCCACGACCAGCACTTCCGAAGAGTTGGTGTGAGCCATAGCCCTCTCAGTGGTCTCGACCAGCATTGCGAACACCGTCTCCTGTAGCGAATAGCACAGGTCTTCGGCACTGTATTCTCCACTTTGGATCCATTGTTGCGCTCTTTTCTGTACATTTAGACATTCATTGCAATCAATACAATGTACTATTCATTCAATTTGTATCGAGAATCACTCTCTACTGTATTATAAGCTATTAGTTGTTAAATAAATGAATAAATAATTGAATCAAAAAACCAAACAATACTTCTATAAACGAAAGTAAACCCGAAAACGAGAGGTCCATCCCTTTGATGACATACGGAAGCGCCACAAACTTGTGTCCTCTAAGAGTAGTAGTCGTAAGTGTTATCAAAGGGAATACTTGCTATTAATATACGATCAGTTGCGGCTTACTTCTTGGCCAACTGCTCAATGTTATAGCCAGGACTGGGATCGTTAGACAACTGTCATCATAATCATCATCATTACCATTAGTTACCATTAGAGACAATTGCAATGCAAATAATGGACACAAATGTGCATTACTTGTAATACTCGGGCAAATCGGTCCAAACAGTTCCCAACGGCAATGTCCAGAGTCTCGCCAAATATGCGGTACCGGCGATGACTGTAAGCAATCACTTGAGTGTTACCTCCGCTCACGTATAGCACCGTCGGGTTCTTGGCTCCTGTCACCTGTCGACCCATCTCTATGTCTGCCATTAATTCATTGATTCAATCATTCAATGGTTGCCATCGATTGCATGGACTCACGAGCGATGCAATGGTTGACTCCAATCAAAGGTTTGTCCCAAAGTTGAGCCAAAGTTCGCGCGACGACCGCCACTGAGACGAGAGGTGCGCCCATTCCCGGCCCCTTCGTGTAAGCCATCACATCCACGTCCTCACCCCTCACCCCCGCCTCCTTCAGTGCTCGAGACAGCAATGCGTGGATATGTGTCCGATGGTGTTGGGCTGTCTTTCGCGGCTCAAAACCTCGAGTGTCACCATAGGATCAGATATCACTTACAATCATCACAATCGCTGTACAGTCAGTCACCACAACACATACCCTCTCCTATTGGTGTGATGTAAGTAAGTCTTGGATTAGACAACACGTGTCCATCTCTGACGACACCAATGCCCAACTTATTAGCGCTGCCCTCAAAGCCTAATGATATGACCATTGATTGTTTGGCACGACTTCACAGTCACTCCACTCTATCAATACACCAAACAATCGGTGTTTTGTTTGTCAATACTATAGACACGTGAATGCCATGTGTGTCACACTGTGTGTGTGTTGTGAGAGTAGCGCCACTTTCAACACAATGTTCTCTCTTTCTCTCAAATAAATGGACAAATCGTGCGATAATTTGATATAAATTTATTCAACAAATTGTCAAAAACAATCTTGATCACTATTTTAACTTAATTATCAACAATCAATATAATTATTTCTGATTCATAATATATTCATTAGAAACTGTTGTCACCGAAACAATGATTCAAATGATTTCAATGGTAAGGTTAAGACAACAATCAATTTCACATCATATACAATATATTTAATGGTATTTATATAGACTTTAGACTTATGAATAATAATATATTTATATATTTATAAGATTTACCCTAATTTGAGTAAACATGGGCTATATTCTCAATGAATGAATCAATAGTTGTATCAAATTGTCTCCTTTTTACACTATGTTTGCTATATTTTACATAATCTGTCGAACAAATCATTGAAATGGCTTTAAATAAGACTACCGGTACTGTACCAATAGTTTTGAACAATTCTTGTATTCATATAAAGCATATCTGGTATGAAATCAGAATAAATGAGACAAAAGAGTGGCATTTGAGGTCATTTGAGGTAAGCCTTGTAGAGCATAGGTCTCCTAACGGTGTCCTTTTCCATTTCCATCAGGAAATGCAAGTCCTTCAGACTGACCCGTTTTATACGTCTCATCTGTCAATACATCAATACATCCATTCAATGAGTACATCAACACTACTGTAGAGCACATACCGGTTTAAGGGGTGTCTGAGAGTTCAATGGGAATGAGTTAAGGCCTGAATTGGTCGCCGGACTTAAGAACGAATTGTTGGACGAAACGGACATCGAATTGAAACTCGTCTTCAGCCGCTTCTTCGGCATTCCGATGGCCTGTAATGCCGTCTCATTGGCCTCGCGTTGTCGCAACTCTTCCAACTCCTGTCTCTGCATCTCTTTGGCCCTCTGTTTGATGGCGATGTGGTCCGGATCGTCAGCTTTAGACCGACTCTATACACAACAAGCAAACACATTGTCAGCACAACCAACACATACACTACACTACATCCACACAACGCATACTTTGGCCGCTTTAATCAGAACCTCCCGCTCCTGTTCTTCATGTCTACGCTTCTCTATTCGATCCAATTCTTGTAGGAAAGTCGTCTGTCCCTTCACGTCCTGCACCACTTCGTAGTTGCCATAACTCTAATCAAGCAAACAATGACTGTCAACAACAAGTACTCATGTGTTCAAGAGTAAGAGTGTGTCAATGCCTTGATCTGTTCCTGCCGGTGCTCAGCTATCACTCCTAATTTCTCGACCAATGTTTTCAGTCTTTCCTGAATAGCATGCGAGACAAGTGATACCACTTCAGGAGAGCACTCATCCAATCCATACTTATTTGCTGTTATTGATCAGACATTCAATGAATGAATGAATAAATAAATAAATAAATAAATAAATAAATAAATAAACAAACAAATCAATCATTGAATTAATTAATTGTATAACAAAACAATGTCTTTTAAATTCAATACCGATTTCGTTAATCCTTTTATGTAATGGAGTGGTGAACAGAAAGTCTTCATCTTTACAGGACCTGATCTGCTGGCCCACAGTCTCAGCATTCGATAGTATGCGTTGACTCTCCTCCTGAAGGTTGACGCCTCCCATCGCCGCCACGTCATTGATGTCGTCATCGTCGCGAAGAGTGGACGAGAAGTTGTTCTTCTTTTCCTTGTCTTTCTGTGCACTCACTCGAGCTCTCGATGAACTCGATTTCGATGAGCTCCGGGATGTGCTGGTTGTGGGCGCGGTTGGTGTTCGCACCACATTCTGCGGGGCTTGAAGTCGTTGTGCTGAAGTCTGTTGGATTGGTGTCAAAACAGTGGTCGCCTGACCGGCCGTCGCCGCCATCAGTCCGCCCATCGGTGTTAATAAACGGACCGTTTGTGTCACTCCCGGTCGTGGCGTTTGAGCGATCTTTTGTCAAATACAGACATAGACATAGACATAGACATAGACATAGTCAGCGTTATTGCAATCATTGCAGTCATATCACTGTTCACACCATTACCTGAATCTGCGGAATATGTTGCGAGTGCGGCGGCAGCGTTACCGTCCCATTAGGTGGTGGTCTCACGCCCTCAATCGTCAGCTCCTTTTGCATTAACGAGAACCTCAGGTATGGCAGACTTTTCTGTGGCCGTAACAGTTCAACACATTAGAGGCATTCAGCATTCAATGAATAGGCATTCAGTCAATAAATACCTTAAGAAATGGTACTAAACAGGGCTGAGGGGAAGAGTTGAGTTCGCGTTGCAATTGATTAGTGAAGTCTTCGGGTTGTATTGCATCGTCCTATGGAGACAATGAGATCAATACATGCAGTCGTTGCAGGTGTTGGCTCTCACTTACAATAAGGCCTTGGATTAGATTCTTGACATTATTGGCCACATTCGGGGGCTGATCGCTGGCCAACCGGATCAAAGTCGACAGAAAATTCTTGCATTTCTTTTTGGCGGTGTTGGGAGACATCTGTGAGGGAGTGGTGGCCGCCTGTTGGTTGGCCGCAGCGGTCGAGATGTGCAACTGTGTGTTCAGTGACTGCGGGGCCCCGGGTTGGGTCGCCCGGTGCTGTGCGCCCGGCATCGAAACGGGCAAAACGATGTGTTGATTGGGAATCATATTCCTGATGCCGGTGGTCGGTGTGGGGGCCCCAGTGGTGGGCACTTGCAAGCGATATGTGGTGGCGTTCGGCAGATTAGAAGGGGTTTGGGCGTTGGACGTGGGAGGGGGCGCCACGTTCACCATATGCACCTGACCATTTTCCGTCTTCACGAATATAGTGCCGGCCCTCACCAGGTTTGACGGCAATGTTATCGTCCCCTAAACAGTAATACTCTTACAATTGCCGTACATTACAAGCAATAGACTATGTAATCGTGCGAAACACATACCTGTCCAAAAGAGGGAGTACCTCCGGGTCTGAGAAGTTGTTGCGTGAGTCGAACATTGGAGGGCAGCTGTACAACCCGTGGGGCCAAAGTGCGTGCATTGGGGCCCATATTGGGGTTGGCGGGTGGGGGCCGACTAGCGGGGTTCACGTTCGTCACCAATTGGAACTGGATTTGGTTGGGATGGTTGGCCACCAACTGCTGCATAAGGTTGGGCTGCTGTGAGCCCGAGTTGGCCATAGACGACACCATATTCCTCGATGCGATTGTAACCACCGATGACGTGGTGACGGCACTGTTGGTGGCGTCGGCACCGCTGTTAAGGCTCTGTTGGGGCAATGGGTTGCCCGACGGCTGCACTATCATTGGACCGTCTTTTGTGGTGGCGATAAGTAATGTCTGTCCGGGTTTGGGCGCCACACCGACGCCCACATTGGGTGCCGTCTTGTTGGGAGTGATCACTAGAGACGGCGTTATTGCACTCAAAGAGATGGAGGTCGGGGTCGGCCCTCGCAGTGATTGTTGTAATGGAGACGGAGAGGACGTCGGACTCCCGTTAGCCATCGCCGACACTTGAATCGCATTCTTGATGATCTGATTGGCCGCCACACCAGTCGTCACCGAATTCATGGATGCGTTCTGACGGTGACAGTCAACACATGAGACATAAGGCATTACAGTTACCATTGCTGTCATATTCATCACATTACAACACTTACCGAAGCAGTGGTCACTTGCGATATGTAACCACTGGCCGGAACAGCTCCTGGAAGCGATGCCACCAATCCTTTATTGTTGTTATTATTATTAATGCTATTATTATTGACACTTAAATTAATGTTTGAATTCGTGGTACTATTCTGAGTGTTATTGATGGTGTTGTTCGTGGTGTTAGTCATGGGAGTCATGATCTTCAGCTTGTGGTGAGTGTTGGCGTCAGTCATGGAAGTGATGCCAGTGTTGGGCACCGAAGGGACAGTCTGTAGAGCGTGTAGTGTGTGTTGATTGTTGTGGTTGTGGTTGACTACGAGTGCTGCAGACACTGCACTGTTGCCACTGTTGACACTGTGGACAGGGGTGGGGGTGATGGGGACGGGCGTGAGAGGGGTGAGTGAAGTCTTGGTGGCGAGTGGTTTGTGTTCGAGTTGAGAGAGAGATCCCACGAGAGCTGTGATCTCAGACTCGTCTACTTCTGAGGACAGCATCTCTTCAAATGACTTTTGCGTTGACGCCATTTTGCCATCAAATGCATCATACAGTACAGTACAGTACAGTGTACTACAGTCACACTGTATGCCAGTCAACACCAATGCCAGTACTACCACTGCTGGAGCACTCACACACACTCACAGTCATAGACTTGGATACAGTATTAGCCAACACTACAGTGTGTATAATACTGTACTGTACGTACACTGGCATCAATTGACACATTCGTTTGGTGCCATCACTGGTCGCATACATACACTAACACACACTATGCCTCACCTATTGCTACCTAATTGTGATTGACTTTCATGTCGTGTAAACCCAACACATACTCCCAGTTCAATGTCTACCAAACAGTCACTGCTCAGCCAATGCAGTGCCAATTGTGCTCACATTGACGGTCCACTTGACTCGACCACCAACTCATTTAATAGAGTCCACTGTAGGCTTGTATTTGAATCAAACTCAATGCATACGATGTGCACGTAATTGATGAATGGCTGGATGTGTGACATTGAGCTCGAGTGCAGCGCTCGACACTTGAAGAGCATAAGAGATGTGTTGACCGCAGCTATTGGTCTCATTTGTTCGTCTCGAGTTGTGCTCAACACTACACTATACTGTATATTATATGCTGAAGTGAGCCTCAGGTCTGTATTCATTGTATGTATTGACTGTTACTGAGAGCGCTGTTCACTGTGTGACTGCTATTGTGTCCACACATTCATCCATTGATCCACTGATCCATTCATTTGGTGTTTAGTGTGCCTATCAATCAGTGATACTGTCTTTGAGTGCTGATGGCGATGGCAACCACACCATTCCTCGGCTGTAAGATATCGCTTATATCCAAGTCCGAGATACGCTATGAAGGCATACTCTACACTATTGACCCCAAAGAGTCGACGATTGCTCTGTCGAAAGGTATGTCCGTTGATTGGATTTGTTGATCCATTCACCCATTGATCCATCCATTGACCCTTTCACTGATCCATTGACTGATTGTACGGACAGTGCGCTCGTATGGCACTGAAGACCGGTCCGCTGAACGACAAGTGCCGCCAAGGGATGAGATCTTTGAGTACATAATCTTCAGAGCCGGCGATATCAAGGATCTGATAGTAGACGACCCACCGGCCAGTATAGCCCCCGGACTCGCAGATCCGGCCATTATTCAAGCCGTGCGTCTCATTGACTGTCACTTCCTGTCACTCATACTAACAACGATTGTCTGTATCTCTGAATAGCACTCGACGTCTACTTCTGGCGCAACGTTTCCGTCGACGACATTCCCGCAGATGTCCGGCAATACGAACACCGCTATCAGCGCCAATTCAGGCCAACGCTCGGCTGCACCGGCTTTCACTTCGGGCCAAAATGCTATCAACTCTCTAACGATGGGCGCCTTCAAGTCCACCGCTTCTAACGACTCGCGGTCACAGAACTCAACGCCTACTGGCGCTCAACAGCACCGACACAGCCCTCACTCGGAAACATTGGCCGCTCAGATGAATGCCTCGAAACCTACGCAAAGCAAAGAGAATCACAAGAAGAATGACAGAGTGATGGACAGAGACCGAGACCGAGGAGGGGCCCCACAACCCCATCAATACCGTCGAGGTGGTGGTGGTGGTGGCGGCGGCCCTGGCGGTCAACAGGGCTATCATCAGAACTACTCTTATGGGCACAACAGACGAGGCTCTGGTGGACAACAACAGAACAATTACCGGCAAAATAGCAATCATTCGCAGCCAATGCAGATGCAGACCAACAATCGTTTTGGTGGTTATAACAGACAATTCAACGCCAGAGACGGAGGCATTGGTCAGCGCCGACCTCCACTTCAATCGCGACCCCAGTCCCAGAGGGGTTCACAGAATCGGATTCCAAACCAGAACAGAGTCCCCAAAGAGCCCTTGAAATTCGATAAGGAATTCGATTTCGAGAAGGGATTTGAGGAGTTCTCGGAGATGGAGAAGCAGTTGACTCGTTTGAAACTCGACGGCAACTCCAGTGATGTACAGCCCAGAGAAGAAGACAAACCCGAGACCAACGCCAACAACGATGGCTCGACTAATGGGGAGAAAGATGGCGTGGATTCGGATCACTACGACAAAACCAAGTCTTTCTTCGATACCATCAGCTGTGAAGCACTGGAGCGCGAAAAGGGGTCAGAATTTGTTGCACTGTTGGCTACTGTTTGATGTTTTCTCGCCTAATAATTGTGTCCATCTCTTTGTGCAGAAATGTTCAGCGCATCGACTGGAAGGCCGAACGTAAACTGAATTCTGAGACTTTTGGAGTGCCTCTCAGTTACCGGCGCATAGGCTATGGTCGCGGCCGTGGAGGCTATGGTTACAGAGGCTATTCGGGCGGCGGATACCGAAACCGAGGCGGTGGTGGTTTCAATCGCGGCGCAGGTGGTGATACCCGACGATTCAAAGGACCACAACTCCAGCCCCAACACAATAGAAACTGAAAGCACAGCACAGCTCTTGAAATGAATACCTGAGTGGAGTTTTATTTGATGAAAATACTAGAAAGTCCTTTATTTGTATGAAATTAAATGATTTAATAAATAAGTCGCTCTTCATTTGTATTACCAAAAACTCTAAGACTGTATGACCTCTAAATTGAACACAATTGAAGGCAATCACGTATTTAACTAACAAAACATATTCTTTAATTGATATTTGAATAAATCTTTCAATACATCAAAAACATGTCAAATCCAAACACATCTCTCTGTATTGTATTTGTTGTCAAATATTGCAAAATTAGTGACATTTTTTCAAATTAAATATTTTTGAATTAAATTCAATAATAATAATAATATTTAAATATACTTTAATAATATATTTAACACAAGTCTTATAACCATTTGATAGATTGATAAAAAAGAGTGCGAAAAGTTGAAAACAATGGGACAACCAGTCAGTCGACCATCACTTGAGTCTCTGTACTCTCATTCTGGGCTCGCAATAGAAGATATCTTCCATTTCTCGGCGCCGTTTGACTCGACTTTTCTCCTCCTCTTTCCAGTCGTCGTTCCGGTTCTTGTAGTGAAAAAGTCCGGCCTTTTTGCCCAAATAATAGCCATTACGGGTGCTGTTTAGATGCGACTCCTTAGCCACCAACTCATCCATAATACTAGTCTTGAGCTTGAAGTCAACGGTGGCCAACACGTGATCAACAATCCTTGAGCCGAACCGATCGTTAGCCATATCGACGTATGAGCCCCGGAGGCGGTCAATGAGCTGTGCCTTGTGTTTAGGCGCCACTGTCTGGCTATGAAGGAACGTCTCGATCACATGACTGCCACTCTTGTCGTTGGCCACCGACACGATCTCTCTGGGCTCGAGAGCTAACAGACTTTTGGTCACTTTGTAGGGATCATCGAAGCCGAAGATGTACTGCAACATCAGTGAGCCGTGAAGCCAGATGTCCTGCTTCTGGTGGGCGCCGTAACTGTGCTGCTGTTGCTGTCCTCCCGGACGCCCTGTCCCCGTCTGCTCGCCGAACAGCATTAGTGGCACTAATTGTATTTGACGCTCCTTTGGCTCGAAACAGTGGTATGACTTCATCAGCGCCTACATCACACATAATATCATTACTGCATCACATACTGTATACCATCACATCATATGTCTATTGACATGACCACTGACAACAGCGACAAACACCTGTCGTCAGTCGCCACATCAACACATCAATGGATCAATTGGTCGACAATTACATGAATGAAGTCGTGCTGAGACGGACCAAACTTCTGACACGCCTTTGAAAGGCAAACACCAATACCGGGCCTATTGTTACGGAATATTGAATCCAAACTCGGAAACAGTTCTTCACAGATATCTGAGAACTAAATGCAAAACAATTGACAAATACTTGTCTTAATTTTGGGGACAAATGCTGTGACTGAACTGATTGTTAATAAATCTCTCGAGATGTGAATCAAATGACAAGATTGTGAGTGAATGTGAAGAACAAACACAATAATCATAATAATAATAATAATATTGTAATTATAATGAATAATAATTTGCTTGAATGAGTGGACATTGAGTGGACAGCAGTGGAGACAATAATAGCAATAATAAGACAATAGGTGGAAGAGTAGGCAATTATGAGGTCTTACTAATGTCTGCTGCTGTGCGGCGTCGATGAGGCGCTGGACAATGAAGTTGGCGATGTCGTGCTTCCACATCGCCTTCAGGTTGCCCTTCAGGTGTTTGGTCCATATGCGCGACAGTCGGTGCTCGTTCGACACCAGGATCACCGCCTCCACCAAGTAGGCCGACACCGACGACGTCGTGATCGCGAACTTGCTCTCGTCGTCCAGAAATACTATCTCAACCAACCGGCGCACCACCAGCTGACACAGCTCTGGGTAGCGCACCTTCAACACAAACAACAGGTACTGCACCAAAGAGGTGGCTTTGCCCAGAATTATCTCCTTCAGCTCCCGGTCCGGGCGCTCCAACACCAGCACTTTGGCAAACCGTTTGAGCAAATGCTTGAACGCCAGGGGCAGCTCTTTCATTATCACATCCTTCTCTATCTCCGAGTGAATGTTTGTCTTCATTCCGAAACCCATAGTCTTTCGGCTCCAGTGCCGGCCCACTCTTATGCCACCCATAGCCTCCAGTGTGGTGATCATGACATGAGAGCCGTTGGTGTCTTCGAGCAACTCGTTCATGTGCTGGACTATGAACTTTCCGATGTCATGCAACCAATGGGTGCTCCACTTCATGTTGCGCTCACTCTGCCCGCCGCCCGAAGTGCCTGAGCCGTGAGAGCTCTCTTTGGACAATATCTTGAGTGTGGCCTCAATGAGGGCCTGAAGGACGCAACTACTGCTCTGATTCATCATATAGTCCAATGATATGGTCGACACACATATCCTTTCGGCCAACTTTCGGATCAGTTCAGTGTTGCCCGTGTTCTCAATCAGCCATTGTATACATAGACTCGAGTGCTTGTGTTGAGACAACACCACTTCCTGTCCACTAATACTGTTGCAAATGCTTTCGCTGAACAGTTCTGTCAAACAATTAGTCAATCTATCAATTAGTCAATTCATTCATTCATCCATTTCCATACAACATACACTCATGTAGTACAGTAAATGCACCGTACTGTACTGTACTGTACTGTACTGTACTGTATATCAATTTAGGTTTCAATCAACATTTACCGGTACTCAACAATTTATCTAATATTAGCTCAATTTGTCGCTTGTATTCACAGTAATAAAGTAACAATTAATTAAACCATAACTCTAATAGTAATGGCATTGATTAACAAACTTTTTTATCCTTAATTAATATATTCAAAACTTTCCTTTAATAAAACCTTTTTTAAAATAAATATATGGTACGCTATGTTTCCGATAATTGTATCAATTTGTTAATAGTTTATTAAACTCCAGAAAAATTTAGTTCAAATATATTATTCTTAATAATCGGTTGAAATAACTAATGAATAAATATGCCGTCAATGAGTGGCTAATTGTACGATACGATCAATAAATAGGCAGTCGTTTAGTGAATCTGAAAATTAAAAAAAATTCTAAAATATTTATTAATTTATCGGTCAATCAATGCATTTGTGTAGTGCATCCAAATATGCAACTCTTGTACCTATTAGACTTAGCTCTCAACTATCTCAACCATTGCAACAATTGTTACCGTAATTCTCACCATTTTATATTTTAAGGATTATACCGGTCAGTACTACCATACAGTTACTGTACAGTGTACACAGTAATTGTCATTTGTTGGTCACATCAAACTCTATTTCAATGTATAAAAAGTTTTTTATAAACATCGATGAATAAACCGTAAATTTACTTATATTGTGTTCATTTGCGAGTCAACACTACTTCTACCGACAAATATCGACCCAAACTTATATCTCATTAAAATAATATCAACTACAGTACTAAGACATTAAATGAAAAACTTGTCAGCACTGCTGAATATGTCACAACTTATTCTATACACGACCTTAATATCAATAATAATAATAATAATATCACACAATTGGCCTACATTTACACATTTGTATATTATTGTGATGACAGTACTGACAGCACTGTGTAAGGCATTCACTTTCAATGGTTTAACTTTAATATCGATTGAAATTAGAGATGCGAAGATATAGAAAGGCATTGAAAAATAGTTCAAAATTATATGTTATATGAGTATTTCGCTCAAACATACGTCAGTTAAGTACCGAAGTCTACAAATAAAAGCAAAGACTGTATTGATGGACAGTCCCCTCCGACTGTATTGGTCGGGAGGGTGTGTTGACACTTGCCTCGGTCGTGGTCATCACGGAAGTCGTCGTGAATCCTGTTGGACATCCTCATGAAGTAGTCGAAGTCGTAGTAGTGGTTGGGAGAGGGACTGCGTCTGACCAGCAGTGGAGACACGGGTGGACCCGAACCCAGTGGTTGTCGAGGCGATGACGACGAGCGGTGCCACTCATCGGCAGAGTTGGTGCGGCCGTTGCGCGAGTGCGTCGGCGACCGCGACCGCCCTTCCCGTCCCTGTCCTCCACTCCCACTACCGCTACTACCCGTCCCATCCCTGCCATCCCTTCCTTGAGACGACGAACTCGACGGTCTCTTCTTAGTGTTGGCCCAACTCATTGTCCTCTTGTCCTCTACTGTATGACCAAAACACACAAAACAGACACAATTAGCACACAATTGCCATCAAATGTCTTAGTCTATAGATATATGAACTTCTGCTACACCACTACAGTATACTGTATATGCATACAAATACTTAATTGTACTAGGTTACTTATTAGATCTATATTCTACTATATTTAGCACCAACATTATATTGATATATATTCATACATTCATATGATTCGGTGCCATAACTATAATAACTATAATAACTATAATACATATTAATATGAAACACTTAACGTAACCAACCGTACGGTATAAGAGGACTAACAATAATAACAATAATAACAATACAATTGTTACCAATACTCCAATGCAACGATGGATTCAATGAATTGGCTTCAATGTAGTCGATGTGATGGCAAATATGTATTTGTGATATAATTAATTATTTAATTACTTCACAATTCAAATCATAAGCAATACATAGACACAGGTATATGACTGTGATATGAATACCGTTACTGAACGGTAAGCACTTTCACTGACACTGTCTATGCAATCAACAGTCAATACGTACGACGATTGCATGCATTTCACTGACTCTCGCTATCATTCACTGTAAACATGCACTACTCATACCATTACATACATCACTCACACAATAAGTGTGTATAAATGGGGCTAACACATCACTGCTACACCAATTCACAATCGTATGCTTATTATTAGATGACTGACATCTCTTATGTACAAAACGCACAATCATCAACTGAATTGTATGTGGATCATTTCTGGTCATTTGTGGTCATTCTTAGTCACTTCTATATTTAAATATTTAACATTTAACCGTAAATATCTATTAAATATTTAACGATGAACAACAAATTAAAATTTGAAATAGTTGGTCATCAGATAAAAATATTTATAAAGCATTACTTAAATAATATGTTAAAATTATTTAACTTAAATCACAGCAAATTATTTCAAATATCCTGCAATTGTTCGTTAAATTATTAACTTTTTAATTTAAATTTAAAGTCTTGTATCAGAAAATATAAATATAAAGTCATCTCTAAGTATTTCAACATAATTGTGCTTGTATTAAGTCAATTATAAAATAAATGATTCAAATGATTAAACACTTGCAAAGCACATAGTCTAATGTAAATTCAATAAATTTAACTTCATTTGTATTGTGAAAACTAATTACTAACCAGTGTGACCAGATCCAAAATCGAAAATACTTGTATTTTTGAATAAATTCTTCAAAAAATACTTGACAAATACTTGACAAGTTTTGTTTGCAAAATACAATTAAATTATGCTTTTATAATAGTTATAACACTATTTAATATGACATTAACTTAAAATTATGCTGAAATAAGTTATTAAAAATGTTTTAAGTTAAAAAACTAAACTTGTTAAATTAAACCTAAATATTTAAGTAATTGGGAAAATATTCCTTTTAAAATTGTCTTAGTTTTCTATAATTAAGTGCCATTTCCCCAATTTAAAATTTATTATTAATTGGTACTTTATTTTAAGCACCAATTCTTGTCGAATTATTTACCAGTATTAATCTGGACAATAGAGATTATTTCTGCATACTTTATTATTATCAAAATTAATATAACTATCAATAAATTGAAAAAATTAAACAGAAATTCATAATATTCTTTGTTTTTCAAGTTAATTATAAAAATTAAAATTTAATAAAAATATTACAGTATCATTCATGTTCATATCAGTATCATACATTATAATGTCAAGTATTACCCATTGCCTTGTCACTTGACAAACACCCCAAATACTTCAATGTCAAGTCAAATACTTGGGATCTGGTCGCGCTGTTACTAACTCATATAATAAATTATATTTATATTTGATATCGTTACTTTAATAATTCAATATGAATCCATTTCTATTTAAAACTACTGACGTTTATGAATTATAATATATTATATTTATTATCATTTTTATTAAACATGGATTCTTACTGGTTAACAGACTGACCAACTCTGATTTTTAAAATAATGTACAAAAAACTAAAATATTGTACCACTAATGTACACCAATTTTTATCGTGGATTTGAATTACAATATTTTTGAGAATTGATCTCTTTAATGTAAAATTTATAATAAAATTTAATCGACAATAAAAATTATTATTTTGTCTTATTGTTAAATTACGTTAATTTTATTTATTAAATACATATTCTTATAAACTTTTAACTAATTCAATAGATTTTTAAATTGTTCTATTTTTTAATATTATATATTTTATATTATATTATTTTATTTTTAAATAGTTAACATTCAATTTACCCTATTTTACATATTAATGCAAATTTTTTAATTGTTCCAAACTGTTACCATTAAAATTACATTATATGTACACTATTTAAACAATAAAATTAGAAATGTAATATAGTACAATATTTATTTTAAAATCGTAACAAGTATATTAATGAATACTAGATTGAATGTACACTATTTTTAAAACATAGTAAACTATGTACTGAGCACTCTAATAATGTACAGTATTTTCAAACAGATTTTTAATTTAAAATGAAAGTTATTATTGTTTTTGTAAAGGTATGATATGTGTAGATATTTTTATATATTTCACAAATAGTGTACATTCATTGTACAGTTGTTTTATTGTCAATCTGGCCAAAACTAGCCTATATTTTTGCGCCTACAGTATATCAATATATTAAAATGTTTTATATGTTTTACATGTTTTAACCTACAGTGAAGTAGACTTTTGTATAATATTTTATATTGAATATAGACAATTTTTGGCCAGATTGACAATAAAACAATAAAACAACTGTACACTATTTCGATTTTAAAACACACTGTACAAATACCCTAAATAGTGCACTGTACACCCCAATACTGTACAGTTGGTCAGTCTGCTCGTTAGTCGTAAACCCACCATAATTGCCACTGGTCAGTTAAACTATGTCTGTAAACCTTAAATGTTCAAGGCAAGTTTTTCACACTGGTTGTTAACAAAAAATGATGCTGTTTTACCATTACAACACATTAGCTATACAGTCAAGTGTCTATTCAAGGGATGCAACTACAATGAAATAATACTTACTTAGTTCACAAATGGTCTGGATTATTTATAATAAAAACACATTCAAAAACTAGAGTATACTTATAAGGTGTCAATATATTTCTAAAATAAATAACTATAACTTATTCACTTTCAATTTTAAACAATACATGTAAAGGTAGATAAATAAATAGTAGTGAATTGAAAGCTTAATAAATTTTCTATAGTATCAGATAATTGATGATTTTTATTAGAGAAAATTAAGATTTTAATAATCATTCAAGTGACACAATATTTTAAACAATTATAGATCTTCTTGGTGTTAAGATAATTATATTGACTAAAGTGTAAATGAACAATTATTTCTTGGGCTTATAATGCAGTAACTTACCTTAAGATTTAGTAAACAAATTATAATTGCTTTGGTTATAATATTATACAACAAATTATAATACAAATGAAATATTTAAGAACTTTCTATTAGACCACTCTATACAGTAGATCTCTACTGTTTGATGATTAGTGGATATAAATGCATTTTGGGTGACATTTGATTAGTGACTTATCAATTTGGTGAATTAACTATAACTAGTACGTGATAGTGGAGTGCAAGTGGTGTATTGCATAAGTGGATGGCTTTATAATTGACAAATGCTATGCTATAACCGTAGTGTCAATAACCATATAAATGAAATATAGATTAGAATAGTTTTGCACCCAAACTAAGGTAACTGAGTTAGTGTACTGTACTGTACTGTATAGACTAGTTTAGAGTGCATTATATGTGATTTGATTGTGTGGGTAATGGTGTAATCGATGGCTTGTATGGGATGTATGGCATGTATGACTTGTATGTGCTTTCAGACTATAACCAGTATAAGGAGCATAAGGAGTATAAAAGTGAGTGAAATATGTGTGGATGTAGTGATGTAGAGCACTGGCATGCGAGCCATACAGGCGTACAGTAGTTGCCATCCATTTAAAAAGACTCATTTGTCTTCACTCGACTGGAAAAGAGCTCTAACTTTAGTCTTTAGTCTTAGGCTTTTCATCACAATTATTGACTTAAGAATTGTTGAAACACTCAAACATTAAATACCAAAACAATTGCCAACAAATAGAGTCCAATATAGCTCTCCAACAAATCCTATCACCATTTCATTTAATGCTCATTTGTTTCACATTCCCATCATTACTACCAATGTATTCATATTATTAGCATTCATACTAAAGTATTATAGTATTGGTATAATTATACATTCAAATTGATTTTTTACATTTTATTACACTAAACTTGTATAATTAGCATTATTATTTTGTTTGGTAAGATTTTTAGTTAACCATCGTATTCAATGTAAAATTACTTACTAAATTGACATACAGTATCACATTTCCATATCTATAATAACAGATTTGGAGTGGCAGTGGCAGTGGGGCGGACTACAGGACTACATCATGAGACTCTTAATCCTCAGGTCGTGGGTTCGAGCCCCACGTTGGGCGCCTGTTGGAGTGGCAGTGGGGCAGACTACCGGTGCGCTGGAAGTCCTACCACACATTCACTCAACATTTCTCGTAGGAGTCGACTAAATACTACTAAGTCTGAGAGGAACTACACTTTAGATAACAAATAGAAACATAAATTTTATTTACAATACAGTATCTATAATGAAGATTTGCATGGAGTGAAAGCGGGGGATTGATAACGAAGCACTATTTCTTATACGGATTAAAAAGATAAGCATCGGAACTCAAAAGTATAGGCATGGGCTAAAAGTATAAACCATAAAATAATTAATTTTATTATTTTCAAATTAGCTTACAAATATTGCAATTTGGACGCAATTAATATGAGGAACGGCATTTAATTTAAAATTAATTTATTAATTGCGCCCAAATTGCAATATTTGTAAGCTAATTTGAAAATAATAAAATTAATTATTTTATGGTTTATACTTTTAGCCCATGCCTATACTTTTGAGTTCCGATGCTTATCTTTTTAATCCGTATAAGAAATAGTGCTTCGTTATCAATCCCCCGCTTTCACTCAATACAAATCTTCATTATAGATACTGTATAACGATATTGCGGACGGTTGTCCGCACAGCACCCGCTCAGGTCTGCGTCCAGAATAAGACTTTTAAAGCATACAAATAAGTATCTCTTAAATACAATATTCAGGTCTAAGTTATAAAAGTGTTAGACCTTTAAATTTACATAAAATAATTATTAATACAATTCTAAACCTTAGATATAAAACATTAGTAGTTTTCCATACAGTTATAAAATAAATATATATACAAATCAAGTCTAAGAAAATAACTTAAAATACAGTAATAATCAAAATTATACTAAAAGTCAAACTTAATAGATCTGAGATTAAGACTAATCTCCAGAACTTTTTCCAAATTTTCCGACAAAAGTGGTCACTGCAGCTGAACCCAAGGTCACAGGAGAATTTAATTTGTATATTCTGTCTCTTTGTTAAAAGTACTATAACATTTAATCATAATATACCGGTTGCCAGCTTAGGCCGGTTTCAACAGTGTTCTTTATTAGAATCAAATGATGGTGTTATAAATGAATGCCCCATATTTTACTTGAATTGAATCAGAGAGCTCCCCAACTCTCCACATCTAAAGGGCCAGTACTGTAATATCACAACTGTTATCATAAAAGCTGCGCCAAAAGGGTTGTTAATCGTTGTATTAAATTAACTATGGGTTAGAATTGAGCTAGATTAAAACAAAATTTTTTGCAACTTTGGCACGAATATACTCGTATGCCAACTTTTCCCTAAATCTTAAGGGAACGGTAGCTACAACACATTGCTTAGATCTCAAAAACTACAATATTTTTAAGTTCTGATTTTTGGAAATGATGCGCGAGGTCATTCCAAGAAAAGTAATTTCTGGATTTGTCGAAATTTTACTTCATTGATTTTTAATAATTGTTTAAAAGCCAAAAATTGACATTTTTAGATTGATTTATCTCAGCAATGTAATTAATTTGCCACT